CATGCATGCATGCATGCATACATAGGAGTATGTAGCGTTTGGGGGTATTGCAGGATTTCAGAGAAGGGTATCCCCCCTCAAATGACGAAGAATCAGCTTAATGGAGACTAGCTCGCTTTCAGCATTGCGAGAGCTTCAGGGATTCTGGCTGGGGAGCTTTCTCGCAACAGCCATGCATGTGGGGACCCGGTTTGGGAATCCTTGTGATAAAGACTACAGTATGCTGGGATCTATTTTGGGCACCGAAACCTAAACCCCATTGATGGCAATTAGCAAGCAAAGCGTGGATTTATGCTTCGCGGCCAAAAGGCCGACAGCTCCAGTCTGCAGGACAGGAATACGTGCATTGACTGCATAGCTTGATCTGACACGCACATGGGTGGCTGTCAAAATCATGGTCCCTTTTGGGATCCCTGTTATAATACAGCACCTTATATTCAGGGTACCAAAAAGGGATCATAATTTTGACAAAAACCCACATGTTTCGAGTCCTGTGCAAAGCGTCCGAATTTCATCCTGCCGGGCCATTTGCTCTTCTCAATTTCGGTTCTGTCATTCCTGTTGGGTTGGGGTTCGTACTTTGGCGAGGTCCCTTGTTGCAACGGAGTCAGCTGCCAAATGGTACTCCCACACGACATTATGCCATGCTACGCAGGGAAGTGACTTTTCTGTCTCTGCACCGGTCTTACAAGCAAACTGAAAAGACGCTTCTTGAGAGCAGGGTGCATTGGACAAGCTACGGCCTTTCGCCAGCACGCTGTCTTAATCCGACCTGCACGACGATCAGTAATTAACGTCAATCGTGTGACAATAGGTCAACGTACAGGATCGCCGCAATGCTGTCGAGTGGCGTTTCACTGCACGCGTGTGGGCGCCAATGCCCACCTTCATTTCGAACGTCTGGTGGCATTGCACGAGACGACGGGGAACGCGTTGGGAGCCGGTGGTTTCAGGACGAGAACCACAGAAACTGATCTTGACAGCCTTTCATGATTTGAGAGTTCGCATCAAGATTTGGATCCCAAACCCCTCCATCCCCCAAACTTGGAATGCAGAGTTCAGGGACGCCATCCTCCTTCTCAGGGTTTAGGGTTTAGGGACCCATCCTCCTCGTTGCTCTCCAATTAGCCTATACCTCACCAGCAATTCCTTCTGACAGAACAGCTTCTGACTTATTGCAAGGGGTCGTTAGCGAAGATCGCTGATGACCACCCACCCAGCCTCAACATCGCGTACGATCACGGAAACTGTATCTCCATCTTCTATGCCTTCATCTGCCAAGGTGTTGGAAACATGTAGGATCTTGCCATTGGAGGTCACGAGAGCGCCTCAATCATTGGAACAGTTTGAGGAGAGTAACAGTATTGCGGAGAGTAGCGGGTGAAGGATAATCACCGCCCCCTAATAGTGAACCCCCCACCCCCTACCTTCTTTATAAATATTCTCCTGAATATGTATGGTCGTATCTTGGGGGGTAGGATTAGGGAGGATTTAATTCGACATAACTAGCTAGCAAAAGAAGCGTGAGGATTTGGATGTTCCTGCCGCTGAGCGCTAAACCGCTAAACTGTCTGTAACGTGGGGGCCGATATAATTACAAGTCATATTGGGCACTATAGTTTATGATAGGAGTAGTACGATGAGTAATTAGCGAATTTTCAGGGCTGAAACCAGTAAGATTATGTTCTGTTTATAAAATATTAAACCCCAAGGGAGTATTGAGTACCATAGTATCCCATCAACAGACTACTCATACGGGTAGACTATAAGAATCCATAAGATACCCCCGAAAGACAATGCTGGCCAAAGAGGCCCCGATATTCAACTCCTCTACATCCCTGTATTCCCGGTTATCATTTCGTCTTCCACGTTTTTGCATCTTGTGCGGAATCTCCTTTACAATCTTCAAATTCCTCCAAACCCTATATGAACTAAATGGACAAATGGACCCTACCTTTTAGGGATCTTTTGTGCAAGTACTCTTCATGCCCAGTGGCGGATCCCACGACCCAAGGCGACCCCAGCCGCTCGACGCAAAGCTGAAACGGAAGAATGTCTTGGCCTCGTTTGGCGTACATGCGTTTAGGGTTTAGGGTTTTAGGTTTTAGGGTTTAGGGTTCATGGCGGTCGAAGAGCTCGCTCAGGAGAGTTTTTAGAGTGTCACATGAAAGTCGTTCGGATGAGTTCAAGGCTTAGGGCCTTCTGGAGGCTCATGGGACTTAGAACTGGTTCAACAAGCTTTGGGCTGAGGGTTTACTTGAAAGTTCATGGGACTCACGAAGTTGTCATACTACCGGTAGGTGTTGGCTGTCATTTTACGTTCTTCTGTGGTCCAGGCACACCCTAAGCCCCCCGCTGATCAACCCTAAACCTCCCAAGGGTGCAGGGATGGTCCACCACAATACCAGATATCCTGCGTGAGGGGGAATAGTTTGAAGAAACTTTTGATTTTGGATCTTCACCCTTTTAAGGCCTAGAAACCTCATAGGCCCTACAGACCTTATGAAGCCCTGAAGTCTCTAAAAACCCTAGAAAGCGTAGACGCCCTAACATCCGTATCAACCACATAAACCCTAAGGGTCGGAGTAAGAAGCATAGGTATGTAATTGGGGATTTGGGGGTGTACTTATACTATCCGCCAAATACAGGGAAGACAAGCCTTCCGCCTAAACCCTAAATTAATCCAAAATTATGCGCGTTTGAGAGGTCGAGTCTAGGTAGGTTGGTATTCATGATATAAAGGCTTTGTGATAGGAAGTCTCTCATGTCATGACTGCAAGAGGTCCCCGATTAGGGGGTTGCGTTACCAAAATCCTGAAATTCCTGTGACCACCAAAACTAAGATCCAGCTAGCTGTGGTGGCTATGAAGATTCCTACGCGAAGTTCACAGAAGGCGCATCTAAAGGTGTTCGCATGCATGAGCGAAGCAATGCGCGAGCTCTTTGTCAATACATACGGCGGTGTTGTCAAAATGTTGGTCTTCTTTGGATCTCTACTAATCCCCTCCCCTAACATTAAGAAACCCTCCACCTCCTAGTCTTGAATATTCCATTTTGGTATACGAAAGAATATTGAGAAAATCGAATATTAGGAGGGTGGGCGGATTTACGAGGAGAGTAAAATGCAGCCGCTAATTTGTAAGCTGCCAAACAAGGGCCCAAAATTGTGTTGATGCCCTGCATAAGGTAGTCCAGCGTTAAGGTTAAACGTGTTCCAGGTTTGGGTGTTGAGTTTGAAGCTGCTTTTGGGGGCTCCAGGGTCTAAGGCTTGTAGCTTCCCAATGGTTTAGGGTTTAGGGTTTTAGGGGTCTCCGGACGGCACAAATTCACCAGGACTATACACATGGGGCTTTTCCTTGCCTATTACGGGTTTGCGCTAGCTTCAGTGCCACCGTAAACCCTTAAACCCAAAACCCTTAAAACCTTAAACCATCTTAAACCCGTAAAACCTAAATCCGTAAACACTTAAACCCTTAAACCCTAAACCCTTGAACCTTCAAACCAAAAACCCTTAAACCCAAAACCCTTAGACCCTTAAACCCTTAAACCCTAACCCCTGTGGGACTCGTGCTGTTTGAGAACCTCATAATCACAGCAGCTTCCGAGGCTTGTTTCTGTTGCGCTCTGCTTCTCAGAGCCCTAGAAATCGAACTAGCCCAATGTAGGCAATAGCTATAGCCTTCGCGGCCCAATGTAGGTATAATTTTAGCGCTAGTCTAAACTCCTAGTATCTTCCTAAATAACCCCTCATCATACTCCCCTATACAATCCCCTAAATAACCCCCTTTGAGGAGCCTAAATCCTAAACCTAAAATCCTAAAATCCTATACCCCAAACCCTACTTGGATCCCTAGGGGGAAGGTTTAGAGTTCAGAGGGCTCCTTGGGGGCCCAACTGCGGGATGCTGCAACCCTGAATCAGGAGCCATGTGACCTATCGTCTAAATTCCTCAAAGGGCGCCATATAGAGGATTATTATATAGGGGACTACTATAGGGGTTATTAAGGGTTCTTAAGGTGAGTGGTAAGCAACATAACTGTCCTAGCTTGTTGGGGGCATTCTGTGGGCTACCCGGGGCTACACCCTAAACCCTAAAACTACCCCACAATCCCTGTAAAAAAAGCCGTCCAGCATTGGCTGAGGCTTCCATTGGTTTCAAGCATTCTCTTCCTTTGGGTGGCGCTCAATATCTTCTGTACTTCCTGCTAACAACCCTTAGATAATCCCAACAGACGCCTCCTAGAATTCACGAAAGATCTTCTATCCTCTGGCATATGGCATAAGTGTGTTACCCAAAATGAATGTATTGCCCTGAGGGGCTGTTGTTGAGATTGGCTTTCTAAAAAACCCACATACTCCGTACACAAACCCCTAAGCGAACTATCCTGGACCCTAAACTCCTAAACGTCCAGCCCTAAGCCAACACCGTCCCGGGAACAGTGATACGTTGGCATGGCCGCCGCTTAAGTTGCAGACCGCCACGGTGATCGTCATGGCATTAGGCTTATTGGAGTCATATGGAGTATGTTGGGATGGTATAGTATATTGGGGTTCTATAGTATTTTGGGGCTACATAGTATATTGGGGTTAGAACGGTTATATAGTATATTTCAGCAGCCGCATGTCTTCCCCACAGAAGGCAGAACTTTCGCAAGGTACGTTGTGCTCAATATTCTGTAGCTGTCGATAACATCTTATACCACAGGATACAGCTGAACAAATGCAGCGCGAAGCACCAGTTCGTCTAAGATCAGGGGGCATGACCGGGGAGCACCTCTGGGTCATACGTCGCAAGAAAGCGATGTTCTGAATGCAATCTTAGAACGTTGATCACAAGTGACGTCTTGCCCTCCCTCTTCAACTCCTGTGTAGGACGTGTAGGACTTAGACCGTATGACTGAATCAGCAAACAGCCAAGATGAACCCGGAAACTTGCTAAGAAGCCAAGCACGTTGGAGGTACCCCACGGAAGTTCAAGCCCAACCAGAAAAATATGTTCTCATGCCAGTTCTCATCATATGATGTAACCGAGAGCCTCCACAATCACGATCCTCCGCCCGATAAATCTCACAACTTGTGAGTCAAGCGATGCTGTCGTGCATACCCTGGGCAACTGCCTCAAAACTGTAGGAACCCAGAAGCTTAAGCTTCTAGAAGCCAATCACAAATTCAACAAAGAGCCCAGGTGGGTCCACTAAAATGCCCCCCTGAGTAATCTGATCCGAATTATTGCGGCCACCAAAGGCACTTCCTTCCTTATAGCCCTAAGGATCCGTAAATGATTTCCCGAAGGGCCGTGAGATCAACCTCAATACCAAGAGAAGACAGCAACTGTAAGAATCCCCGGTCTTCAACCTTATATGGGGATAATGGAGAAGAAAATGGAAACTACTATTTAGGGTTTAGGGTTTAGGATTTAGGGTTTAGGATTTAGGCCCCCTAAACCCCAGTCTCCTGCATGGCGAAACGGATTGCGCTTGCCTCGGCGAGGTCAGGCAGCATTTTCCCGTGTAGTGGATACTACAAATCCTTCATGACCCTAAGTACCGTAAGCCTAGCAATTATGGTCTTACATTATTCTGAGCTCATGCAGGAGTTTAGCATCAACAGTATCACCCTGCTAGTACCCTTAAGAAGGGCTTTAGGGTCCCCAATAGGGGAGTGCTTGGGCCTGAATCGAGGGTAGTTGAAAGGTCTAGGCCCAGGTTTTGTAGCTACTCAACAATCTATACTAATAAACGGAATTTGGCAACCCCCACGCCCAAAAACTAGCACCCTATGACTATCATATGATGGTTATGGGGTCCTAATTTTGGCGGTTGGGGTTACCAACATCCTTTTATCATATACCCCAAACACCCCAAACCTGGGAGCCCTAGTGCGAATGGAATGGCTTCTAGTGAGCAGTCGCTGGGTCATGACAACTCGCCGGAGGTGGGACCCCTGAAGCCAAGGTATCATCACAATGCTATTGCAGGGGGTTTAGGGTTTAGGGTAGGGGTGGGAAGCTCACAAACGGTGACCTGAATCGAATCGGCAATTCAGGAGTCAGAGGGTTTGGCGTTTACGGGTATTTTAGTAACCCCAACCCACAACATCAGCACCCTAGAACAGTCAGATAGCTATGGGGTGCTCATTTTGGGGATCGGTTGGGGTTACCAAAATCCTCTTACTGTTAGCTTTCCACCTGTGTCCATGAAGTTCTTTGTACAGCAGGAAATTGATACTGGAGTTTTGGAATCGAGTAATGAGCTTGGATGTGTAAAGTGTTTGGGAAGGACGCCAAGGGAAAGCGCTCTGGCCTCGTGAAGGTCGAGGGCGTTGAGCA